AAAAGAAACCCTGCCATATGAGAACCAGGAATAAACTGATGAACTGACATCTCCCTGAGTCTGCAGATAAACTGCTTGAACGTTTTCATTGCATTGAAAGGGAGAGAAGAATAGGTGACTGTCAGATGACAGTCACCACTGAGAGACAGATTCCCTCGAGAGCTACCTCAAGCCCATTAAGTGAAAGAATTACTATAGGGAACGTCATACAGGAAAGCATCCAAAGCATAGAGAGGTTTTTATTTATTGGACAAAGGGAAGAATGACTTTAATACTGCTGCTCTGATGCCACTCCAACAGGAAGCTCCCTCTGGGGAAAGAGGAAGATAAAGCATATTGACATCACTGGAGGAAAATGTATAGTGTATTTGAGTGCTGTAGGATTAATTTAACTAACAAATTATTTTATTTCTGTGATTACAAATTGAATGGCATGGATTTAGCAGAAGTTTTTCTCTTTCAGTCATGGGAAGGATTATATTACTGGAATGTGTTTGGAGGTAGTGTTGCCTGGACATACACTTTTCAGGTAGGAGGAAATCAGAGCCTTTCAGCTCACGTTGATATGGTGTATCTGGACAGCAAGAAACAAGGCAGAATTCACCATGATTTGGTAAAAGGTTGAGACTCCAGGAAACGGTGATTTTTTTTAATGTGTTGAGCAGACTTTTTCCTTAAATACATAAATAGTTATTTTTTCTAATTCTGTATTATGTGATTTGTTGATAAACTTACTTATGTTTCCTGAAACTTGTAATTTTTTTTTCATTCTTCTTTCAGCCAAAAATGCTGCACGCAGCTATTCTGAAGAAGCTGGTTCTAGATGGTGAATCGGTCTACACCTTGACTTCTCATCCAGTTTTGCTGCTTATAGCCAGGATAATCCTTGTGAATTCAAGACACAAACTTGCATCTCTTCAGGTAAGAAATATGTGACTAATGATTATGAATGCCAGCTACTCATTAGTTGGTATTCTCATTCTTTTTTACATACCTCATTGAATCGGTATAACTTCATTTCTTCTTCAGTAGCTCTGAGGTTTTTTCCTCTAAGAAACAGTTAGACACAGTGATTACAATTAAATGCAAGTATCTTTTTCTTAAAGATAAGCTATTTTCTCACTGTTTTTCCCAAAAGAGAAGAAAGATGCCTTCGTTACCTGGAAAAATTAGAAAATTCAATAGGAAGCAACTTTTTTTGTGATATTATTGGGGCGAGAGGAACGCCCTATAATGCAGCATACATCTACTATGTCCTTTTTAACAAGCTTTGGGATACTGTTAACCATTACTGTATGAGTTTTTTAAGCCATGAGTTCTAAATGCCAAGGAAGTCCTCTCTCTTTGTTTGTCATTGTCCTCTACCTCTTCTGCGGGCATCCATGTGGAAGCTACCTTAATTTTCTGTTGTGCTTGTACATTAAATACAAGAAGATAAGACAAATCTCTTCTTGAGAGGGTTTTTGTCTCTGCCTCCTTTGTAGTTTAGCAGCAGGCTGGTTGGTAGCAGGACTCTGGAACTGGGGGACTTCTAACAGCAGCAACTTCTCTTTATTGCATTTGAGTTAAACAGAATTTGGCTGGAGATCAAAATGCCACATGGTCCCTCTTTATGCTTGGCTGACAACATCAGTTCCCAGCTGGGTCTTTGTATGAGTGATGAATTAAACTGTGTGGGAGATGTTGGCTGTACAGCATTTCTGGAAGCCAAGCTCTTCCATCGTTTTCCCTGTTATTCACAGATGAGTGCTGTTGAATTTCAGCAATCAGGTCAGCCAGGGAGCCATAAAATGTACCTGGTATAGAGAATTCTCTTGCTGCCTCCTCTCAGACTGACATAAATGGGGTGGCCTTCTTTTACCCAGTAGAGGTTCAATTACTTGTGGCTACGTCAAGTTTGGATAGTAGTTCAAAGGTAGCAACTGATTAAAAACTGCTTTCATCAACAGGTCAATGTAGCACTTAAAGCTTGCCATTCTTTCTCGTTTCAGCTTGATTCAAAGGACGTCTCTTAATAGCTTTGCTTAAGATATAGTTCAAATGAATTTAAAACAGAGTAAAATGCTCTGAAATATATTATCTAAAGCATTAATAAAGCCCTGTTTTATTCAAAAATGCTATTGTATATGGAAGATTAAATGCTTAAACATCATCCAAAAACTCTTAACTTGGGTCCCAAAAAACCTAACATAGCTGATCTAATATCGTACAGAGCTCAGCTGGCTTACCTGAAACTTTATAAATATGCTCTCTCTGATTTTAACATTTCTGAGTGGGGAGCATCAGGCCTCAGGAAATTGTGTCATTAAGCTGCATACTCAGTTGTGTGGGAAAATGAATACTTCGTTATATGAAGCTAAACTGAAGTAATTTGAAACTTATTTAAATTGCCTTTAGGTTTCTAAGTAAGTGATGAAATATTGGGATTTGACCTTTTCACCGAGTCTGTTGTTTGTGTGCTTTTACTTTGTTCAGCTTGATATCAAAAGTCATCTTTCATTGCTTTTTGAAATAGATGCTATTATTCTTTTTGATGGTTCCTTTCTAGGCACATTACAGTCAACTACAAGTGATTGGTTTAGATGTTTTTGCTTGAACACTGTACAGCCCTTAGGTTGGTCTGATGTAAGCATACCTGTATAAAAAGTTCAGAAGATAGGTGCCTTTCAGAAGTTCTGAAACCTCTGTTTCATAGAAAATGATTGGTGTGTTAACATAGCAGAATAACTAGTAATCATTAGAGCCTGTGTAGAGGTATGCCCTATGTTCACAGACTATAATCTTAAGTATAATTTTGAGAATAGAATATTATATTATATTATCAGTTAGCTTTTCCATGCATTTCCACCTGGTGCAGCTAGAGAGGGATAAGATGTGCTGGGGAACTTATGTTTTGTGTACATAGTTTTCTAAAATTGGGTATTTCCTGAGCTGCGATTCATCTCTGCTCTAGAATGATTACTTAGTTCAGCATGGTATTTGCCCTTCTGAAATTCCACATACAAACATTAATACTTTCAATTTTATTTGTAAGGTGTTCTCATGAGCAGTTCTGGTCTTCTACCTCTCTGTCTCCTTTCTACCCCCACCTGAAGAAATAAAAAAAGATTAAACAGAACAGGAAAAAAATGCATAGAAGGGCAACACTGGATGATGAGAAATACTTGAATGGCTTCCGTACAAAAAGTAACTAAATAGTCTAGGACTCTTCAGGCTGGAAAGATTACTGAAGTGTGAGATCATGGCTGTCTATTAAAATCATGAATGTGACACAAAAGAAGATAAGTAGGAAACCGCTTTTTTTTGTCTGTTTCAAGAATCAGGAGGTATGAAATCAAAGTAGCAAGTGGCTGTTCCAAAATAAGCACACACAAGTATTTCTTTTATCTTCTGTTCACAGAATTTCTTACCAGATTGTGGTCCTAAATATTTGCAGGGTTCAAAGAGCAGCTAAAAAAATTAAGAGGAAAAGCCCATCAAACTCTTAGAGCACTGTAGAGCAGCTGGAATGTGTACATCTTTATGCTAGGTTAGTGCTCACTTTTTATATAAAACAACTGCTTTGGTTGGGTTTGTATTTTTTAGAAATTAGAATTGAATAGATTACAAAATCTGTATTTTAAAGCCACTTATCTCCTTTTTTTTAAAAAGGGACCTATAATTGTTAACTTGAAGCATCCATATTTTCTTTCAGACATTATCTTGGTGGACTCTAAGATATGTGAATATTCACCAGCAGTTGTTGGAGGAGAGATCACCTGAACTATTTACTCTTGCCCAGGCCTGTATAAAAGAAGGTATGTTTCTAATTACTTGGTTTATTGGCTTTGAGCATCAGTTGTAAGATATGATGGGGGAGTGGAGTTTGTGGGCACAGCTCTATCAACATGATGCTTATCAGATGCTTTCATAACTACAGAGAGTAGAGAGGGAACAAAATTCACTTAAATTGACATGGACTTGTATGGCACGTGCTGTTTTCCAGACTCTAAGATGAAAATGGGAGTATGTGATTGTAGACAAAGTTTTTTTGGTTTGGTTTTATTTCCCCCCTCCCTGTGCTTAGCACTGTTAATTTACCACTAGCTCTCTAGAAGCCATTCTGTGCTGTTTTCATTCCTTATTAACTGAGCTTATTCTGGTTTGAAAAGGGAGTGTCCTTGTTCTTCTGTATCTTCATGGGGGAGATAAACTTCTTTTTTCCTGTTTTCTCTATCTGCACCTAAGTTTTGAGATCTGTTGCCTTTCTGCATTATATATAGAGAAAATAGACCATGTTAAAACTGAATTATGTAATATATATATCAATGTTTACAAAGCATAATGTAGAAAGTTAAATATAATTTAATAGTGTTAATATCATTTGCTACAGCAACTGATAAAGCTGGAAAAAGGAGGCAAGCTTTTACGTATGCTAGCCCCTCACTACTTAGTTAACTAAAGATTCATTTAACTTCACAAACCTGAAATTTCCAACCAATTGCATTTAAGAAATTTTCTATTGCATTTAGATGAATTGTCATGTGTGTTCTATTTTGACACAGACAGCAATCATAAAACACTAAATTTTGAGTCTCCCCTCTCCTAGCACACCTTAATGGAGCTGTTTTGATCTGAACCATATGTAGGTTCAGGCCATGCAAATTATGTGTAAAATATGAAGTGGGTTTTGGTCCTTTTAAGAACTTAAAAATTGGTAACAAAGATGTTAGTACAGTAATGAAATTGAGCAGAGGGATTTTACCGGGTCCTCTGCAGTAAAGAAGCAACTGACTTAATGCTCTTACTGGATGCTACAAGCACTGGAGCGGAAGGGTTTTGTTGCAATTGATGTAAACTTTTGTATTTTCTTATACTTTATTAGATGATTTTGAACTAACCTCTACAGTTATCTTGCACAGGTATGGGAATCTTAAGATTAAATTCTACTTAGTCTGTAACTTTAAAATTTCTAGTTCTTGGAAAGTTGGAAGCATTGCTGATTTGGTGCACTTATTAGAAAGTAATTGACAGGTGTAATTTAAGGACATCATGATAAATTAGTCGCTGTGTTAACTTACGGGCTGGGGATGGGGGTTAGACTTCAGCAGGTGCAAAAAATGAAATCTAAATTGCATTTTTTATTTCCAAATTAAATTATAGCAAATTGAGTTTTACTTCAAAAATAGGTGTTGCCAGTGTAGTTTAACCTATTAGTCAAGTTTGGCCTGTTTAAATGCTTGTATTGGAAATAAAAATTCCTTAAAATATGACTTCCAAAATATGTTGGAAAAGCTCATCTCCCACATATTTCTCATAGGCATTTTAAAAACAGAGTTGCATGGAGGTGGTTAACTGTTCTGGAGAGGGTTATTTTGCTTAGTTTGATGGTTAAGGGTAAGCTTTTTTGAGACAAAATTTTTGTTGCTTGGTTTTAATGTAGTAAGGCTTAAATATTTGTGTGTTAGGTTGTACAGTACTTCTAGAATGTATATTTTCAGGTAAATATTTAGAAAATATACAAAACTTTATATTACAAAACAAGTGGTGCTGGTGTGCTTCATTCAGATAAGGAAGGTTAAGGAGATACATTTGTAATAAACCTTCTGCTCATTTCTAGATAATTTTTTTTGTTGTTCCAGAGATGCCCAGCGTCAAAGATCTTTAGATACCAGTGGTTTTGCAGTTCTGTTAGAGTAGTGCAACTCTTGTTTGACAGTATAGTTTTATTATGTTAATTTGGGAGAATGCAGAGTATATGAAAACACTTCTGGGTTCTGTTAAGTAGATAAAAATCTGTAATAGAGAAATGTATAGCCCATTTAGGTATTTCCAAGAAGAAAAAGTAAGTCACAAATACTTGGAACAAAACTGAAAGAGAAGCAATAATAAAATGAATTAAAATTCACTGATACTGCATAGAGATACAGCAGTTTGTGCAGCCCTGATCTGTGTAGAGAGTTCTGTTGCATATGCACAAATACTACATAAGTACTAAGATGTCTTTTTCAGTGCCCTGTTTTGAGACTCCTGGATCTGGTTTTCAGAGAAGATGGTGTAAAGTATGCTTGAATCTGTAGTTAGTTTTTTCCAGGCAGGTTTTGCTTCCTGCTTCCTCTAACAGTTTATTTACTTTCTAATTAAAGCCATCTGGTATTTCAAACAAGTACCTTCATATTCTGTAAAATAAATACTTAATAAACCTTTTAAATAGTCTTTGATTAGGGCTTGAAAAACCTACTTGCTTGTTCTGTATCAACTTGGCTAGAAAACTTTGTCTTAATTACTAGAGAAAAAGACCTTCGAATTCAGGAGAAAATGTTTTCTATTTAAAATACGTTGTTCTCAAGTATAAAGTCGGCATCATCACCTGAATAGAAGACAGCTGCAGTGATTCCCTGCTGTTCTGAAACAGCTGTTGTGCAAAACAAACAGGGCTCAGTGCAGTTTCCCATCCATTTGGCCCCATGTCAAACATGGTATGGGGTGCTGGAAGGATGTCTTAAGTTTGGGACATTAGTGCTTCTGTGCAGCTACGTCAATACTAGTAATGATGTGAAGCTTTCCACAAAGGTCCATTACCATTGGAGTAATATTTTTAAATTACCAATTTGCTTTCATTAAACAAAATCTCTAAATTCTGACTTTGAAAAAAGTTACTAGGCAGGATTTATCCACGCAAATTCTTACTTACTGAATTAAAAAAGCAGTGTAAAAGTATGTTCAGAACTAATAAATTTATATATTCATTGAAAGGTTTTGAGCATTAACAAGTACTCAAAAAAAAAAAAAAAAAAACCCAAACCAAAAAAACCTAGAAGGCTTACACAATAAAATCTGTTCAGGCTAGAGTTGACTGCCAATCTCTAAATTCAGATGTCACAGAAAAATGTTTTAAAAAGCCTTGATAATATTAGTTTTTATGTAGTAAGACTTTTTACTATTCTTAATAAAGCATTTTTGAAAAATTAAGCATCCATTAAGGGACACAGCATCTATGTTAATCCTGGGTACCAGTCTTCTTAGGTACTGTGATGCTGTGAGCTTTTAAAGAACTCTATTATGTAAATATTTCCTGGCAAAATAAAGAAATTAAGTCCAAAGCAAAAAATCACTTCCATTTAGGAATAATTCACGTGAATTATTTTCAACTTAATTGTCTATATTTCACTATGGAGGAATATTCTTTTGTCATTTACTGTATTTTGATAGATAGAATTTAAATATATAAGAAATACAAATGCTTCTATGCTGGATGAAAAAATATCGTCTTCTTTTGTAAAGATTTCAGATTTATTTTGACAATATTTTTTGCTTTTTAGATGGAGAGCGTGATCTTTATTGCTCAGCAAATCAGTAATTATAAAAAAAAACAAACAAACAAACAAAAAAACAAACCACCAACCCCACTCCCAAACAGAAAACCCCTACAGAGTCCTAAGTCCCTATTCAAACCTCAGTCTGCTGGTGAAAGTTTTTCATTTGAAGCCTGCTACTTAAGGAGGAGGGTATTACCTCAATATCCTGTATTCTGAGTTCCTATATTCTTTAGCAGGTCCGAGACAGTTGGAGTTGTTTATTTCCTGCAAGATCGATATATCCCAGTTCAGCTTTGCTGTAAAATATAAGTGAAGATTAAACCTTTGTTTGTTCTAGTAGTAATGCTTAGCTGTAAGACTTGAAAAAGGCTTTACTTTTATACACTGACTGTGGATTTTTAAATGCATGGAGCTGTAAAGAACAACAGGTCTCCTTTAAGCGTAACAGACTTTCTTTCCTGGTGATTTAAATGTGGTTTTAAAATATATTTCTCCTGGAATGCATCCTGACAGCCTTTCTTTTTCTTAATTTGCAGTGACAGAAGCAGAAACTTTGCTCACGGGTGGTGAAAGCTGGCACTTGGCAGTTCAGTTCCACCTTGAGTGTGCCTATACTTTTTTGTATTACTATGAGTATAAAAAAGCTAAACAGTGTTTCAATATGGCTAAAGACATAACAAAACTGCAGATTAATCTTACAGGTAAGTTTTGATTGTACAGTCTTAAGAGGGTGGTTGGTTGGACCGAACTGACCTACAGTTTGTTGGAATTTTTTAAATGTCGAAGTAAAAAAGAATTGTATTTTGAAAAATCTTGACTTTTAACAGGTAGGACTTACTTGTCTTCTAAGAAATAACATTGCTTGAAAAAGGGAAGAGAAATACACTGTCTAGATACAGGGTCACCCCTAATACGGATATCTGAGCAGCGGTGGTATTATGATCCTTCCTTCTCGTGTTTCATGTAGAATTGTAGGTTTAATAGGACTTCTGAAACTAGCTGGTGTCATGATGAAGAATTTTGTTTGTTTGGAGATGCTTATAAAGAAGTCTACATAATGATTTGATGCAGTCTTACACCCTTTATGCCACTAGCTTAGTTCTACTCTATGTAAATAACATTTAAAAGTCACTTCCAGGACTGTTGTTATCACAGGAAAGAAGGAGAAAAGTCAAATTTCTGGTGAACAGATATAACAAGGATTCAATCACTATAGAGACTTTATAATTATCCTTTCAGAACCTGTTTGGAGTCAGGCAGATCAGATTGCTGCAGCTGCAACTTCCATTTAAAATTACATGTATAGATATGGGACTGTTTGGTCTAGCTGGTCCTGCTAGGTAATCAAAATGACATAAGATGAACACCTCCTCTGTGCGAGAACTTCGCTTGTGCCTGAGTAGAAGTGGAAAAACCTTTATATAGTTTTTTTTTCTATAGAGTTGTTAGTGGAATTAAGGAACTGAAACTCACAGCCTCCTTACCTGTTACACCACTGTATGTCACAAGGCTAGCTGTTCCGTTGTATTTAGATAGGAGCTGCAGCTACCCCTGCTTATATCCTGAGCCAGTTTATAATTTTGATGTGAAACCAAAACAAAACCCTGCACACACAACCCCTGCCCAAACCAAACAACTCTAGTGGAACTCTATGCTCATTTTTTCAAAGGTTCTAAAGGTTTACTTTGAAAAATCAGTAATGAAAATCTTGTGGCGTAATGTTTTTGCATAACTATGAATATACGCATTATATTCCGTGGTATCTGCTTAAAACATAGGAGTAATGTATAGAATCATAGAATGTTTTGGGTTGGAAGGGACCCCTAGAGGTCACCTAGCCCAACCCCCCCGCAGGAGTAGGGACACCGCTAACTAGATCAGGCTGCTCAGAGCCCCGTCCAACCTGGCCTTGAATGTTTCCAGGGATGGGGCCTCCACTACCTCTCTGGGCAACCTGTTCCAGTGTTTCCATACATTTGTTTGAAGGAATTCCATGCAGTTCAATTGATCCTACCCTTTTTTCCTATGTGCAACATGTACTGTATGTGTGACATGTCCCATGTGTGGCATGTACTGCAAACATCATTATAAGGTAGTTTTGTTTAAAATTAATCTAAATTTTTCATGTTTTTTATTAAAAACATCAGTGCCTGTGATGATACTCAAGCTATAAAATTGCAATTAACTAAGAACAAGTAAAATCAAAGTGGCAGGTGGCTATTCACTGATATTCCTCAACTTACAGCTACGTGTTAGATATATTATTTTTTTTTTCCCCCTTTAAAGGGGATCTTTAGATTTTGGATGAGTAATTTCCTTAAATCTAACCTAGGAAAAAACCTCTTGTTTGGAGGGGAAAAAAGAAGTTTGGATGCAGTGGAATTATTTGTATTTTTGATTACTTTACCAAGAGATTACGTTAGTCCCAGAGAGAGACTGTGGTGATACAGTCTCTTGGAAAAATGTTGTGAAACTCTTAGGAGTGCTGTGGTTTATCTCCATAAATCTATTAGAATAGTTATGAAGGATGTCTAACCTGAAGGCAAATGAACTGAACTGAACATGTGGGAATTGTTGGCATTCTAGACAAATTCATTTGACATGCATGTTTTGGCTAAATGGAAGGAATGTTACATCATTAAAAAAGACCGCTTTAATGTAAAAATTCAACCTCTAGGAAAGACATTTTTAAGGCTTTTGGAAGGAATTTCCTTTTTAGGAAAGGATTTTAAGAGGTTTTTTTATTCTTCCATGGTTATAATCCTTACTAGCTGAACATTTTATTATGGCATGGAGATGTATACTGTTCTTAGAGAGAATTCAGAACCGATATTTTCCAAAGTTATTGTAGAAATATGTAAATAAATCATACTTGTTCTGGCTTGTGTACTTTTTTAGGTGCCATTAATCCAGGTTTGTGCTATATTCGTAATTTATTAAAAAGCATCCTTATGCTCTTTATAATGCATCACAACCATCAATAACTCCACAAAACAATTTCCAGTCAAAGAGCAGACTGTGGTCCTTCTTGCATATAAATTTACTAAAATGAAGGGTGGTAATCCAAAATAAATTTAAGATCAACAGATCTGGAGGATTAATAATGCTGAAGTCTGAGGTCTGCATATTGTCTGCTGTCTGCTTATTGTTTTCATACCCAGTAATGCATCCCCGGGAACTTTTAATATGGAACAGAAAGTAAAGTCTCTGTGTAGATTCCCTGTCTTTTGTGAGGATATATGGTGCTATAAAGCAAGCAAATTTTTCCCCCAGCTTAAACACGTGATATATATTTTCCAAATAAAAATTTTGTCCCTGTAACAGCAAGGAATTCTTTGCTTTAAAACATGGGGGGGCGGGGGTGTATGAATCTCGGAGCATAAACAAACTACAGTTTCTGGGTGGTAGCAAGTAAATTTAGTGGTAACCAGCATAACTTTGCAATGGTTTTATTCAGCTGTTTAAGCAGTAAGACATAATAGGAGGTGAATTACAGCATAATTATTTTCAAGCATTATTAAAATTGAGAGTTGAGTGCTACCACGTAGAATTAATATGAACCATTACCCGGTATTTCTCTCTATGTGTGTCTCTTCTCTGCAGTGTGCCTTAGGATTTAGAATTAATATGAACCATTACCCGGTATTTCTATGTGTGTCTCTTCTCTGCAGTGTGCTTTAGGATTTTAAGGTGATATTTTTAGAACCTTTTTCATTTCTTCATAAACTCTTAACACAGGGCTTTCCCATTAAAAGGGGTGATGGGCAGAACAGGAGAAATCAGTTTAATTTCTGGTGTCCCTGCTGCTACCTTTCCACCTCCACGAGAAAACAGCGGTGACTGCTATTTCAGTACCTGTGCCAGGTGATTCTTACTGACAGTGGCCTCATCCTTAAGCCTGTGTCACATGAGCAGTGAATCATCTTTACCTCAGAGATTTGTGTCCTGCAAAATTTTCAAAATGATAATGGAATTAAGAACTTGATCTTAATTGGTTCTGTAAAAGCAGGAGAGGATTAGCTTTCAGTCCTTTGTTTCTGCTACTGGATTTTCACAGTTCACATTGTCTGAGCATTGTATCACAGTAATAATAAGCAAGCAAACATCCAAATTTTACAGAGTAATTTTTAGCTCCATTTTGGCTTTGGTTAAGATTCTGTTATTCTTAATTGCTATCCTGAAATTGTTCTATGATTTCTGATTGCAGCTTGTGAACAGGTTGCGAACAGAGGGAGAATGGACATGTTTCTTTTCAGTTTGGTATAAATGTCAATTGCCACCCTAGAAGTAATATTTTGAATATTGATTAATTTGGTAGACAGCCTTCACTGGTTTGCTGTTTCACTCTCTCCCATGTTACTTCTACAGTTTTCTATGTGCCATATTATGGTAACATCATGTCTGTGATCCCTCTTCATAGACCTAAGTCTTCAAATGAAGATTTGAAATATTTTAAATTATGGCATGTAAGATATGGGATTTTCATTTGCCTAAATGTTTCCACATTGTTATTAACTTTTAGTAGGCAAATCAAAAAATTGTTTGTGGTTTATTGCTAGGGAATAAATAGAGAACTGATGAAACTTCATGACTATGAGTTTTCAAGAGACCATATGGTGGGTTATGGGGAATTTACCTAAAAGTGGCTCTGTAAGACCTATCTAGCTGTGTTTGTATGTTTGTAACATGTATTTCTTTGTATGTCATAGCCAGCAGTAAGAACCCATGTAGTTTGCTGCAAAGAGATTGAGCAGAGTTAAACCACTGCTAAATTTCGTAGGTTAATTCTCAATGTGTTGCTTTTTTTATTTCTCCTTTTTGTGAGCAACTTTCTAGTATATGATGGGATTACTGGTTTTTAGTGTTCATTAATATAAACTTATATTCTTTCCCTGTAGGTGCTTTGGGGAAGAGAACACGATTTCAGGAAAAGTATGTTGCACAGCTTATTTTGGATGTCCAAAGAACAGATGAATTCCTCCTTCCTCACAGTGAACTAAGTCCAGCTCCAACACCTCTAGAAAACTTAACAATGGTATGTATTTGAAAAGTTGTTTTCATTTCTTAAAATGAAAGTGTGTTGAAGCTTTTCTTGGGTGTCTGCAAGGGAAAATTTTGTGGTGCCTGGAAGAAACTTCTGATTTCTGAAAGTTTTTGGAAAAGATGTGGGGTGGTTGGTTGCCTAATATTAAGGACATGGAGTAAAACTACATATGACTGTCTGCGAGACAGATACGGCTACTGAGCTAAAAGCATGTTTGCAAATACGATCTTCTACAGTTTGTTTATTAATTTCTAGTGCCGAGGAACGATGGAGTTAAGAGAACAGGTGAGACAGACTTTCAAAATAGCCTTCAAGGTATCACAGAAATGCACAGATTCCTAAGGGCTGACAGACATGTTCAGTAACAGTGTGAAGATAGGAAATTTGTCTTAGGTATTCCTATGGGCATGAACTATGTGACTTGGCCCTACTGGTTCTAAGGGTGTGCATGATGACTTCAATTATAAATTGCTCAACAACCACTGAATTGTTTTGAAATGGCATTTTTCCTTCATGAGGAGAAGTTCTGGTCAGGATCTAAAGATATTTGAACTTGCTAAAGAAGCCAGAGATAAATCAAGGCATTATGGTCCAAGATTTATTCTTCAGGTTGGAGAGCCTTTATAAAAAAAATGTTATATGCCTTGATAGACTTTTAGGTCAAGCAGGGACATCAAGCAAAAGAATTTGACAATAACTTCTTTATTTCTAAATTGAATGCACAAATACCTGAGGAGACTATCCAGCCTTTTTTGTTTGTCCATTAATACGTCCTTAGTGTTGTATTCAGTTTGATGAAAAGAGATGGACTGCATATATGTCACAACTCGTGCTTATGATAGAACTATGTATAGCAACCCATTTAAGGGTAGTGAGAGCTTAGGGGGAGGCCACTTGGTGAGTGTCCAACTTAGTTGTAGACTTCAAGTCCAACTTAACTAGAACTAAATGATATAATGCATTGTTCCCAGGGGGCCCTAACTGGGATATTGTATAGTTATTTTCTCCAGTTATTCACAACTTTCTGAAGAATTTCCCTTTGTAAGGTGTATCTGATAAGGACTTTAGTTTGAAATAAAATAATGACATAATTTCAATAAAAATGAACACTGGTTTAGGCTGTAGGTATAACCTGGAATGAAGTATATTATCCTTGCTAATAAAATACTGTATTCATATGTCCTTTTAATGAACAGACCCAAAGCTGCTGAGTGTTTGAGAGAGAAGATTGGGATATTTGGAACATTTACTAATTAGTCATGCTTATGTTATCCACACTTTCCTACTGAACATATATTGAAAATAGTGCTAGAGAAAGTAAGCATACCTACTTTTTCTGCAAAGTAAAAATGTGACGCTAGAAAGGACTTGAAAAGTTTTGGCTACAGGAAGGAGTTGAGTTTTGTGCAAGTCTGAGCAACTGTGTCATATAATTCTGTCATAAGTTATTTGGGCTGCCTTTTAAGGAAAGTTAGGCTTTCTGTTCCCACAGTCTACTTCAGGAAAAATCAGAACCTTTTATTTTTGCACTTCATGTGTGTCAGAAATTCTGGAAAATAATATTAGTAAACCCATGTGCCGCTTTGAGGAAAATCTGAAGTATTTCAAGTTCAGACATTTTATTAACATCATGTGTGAACGTCCTGTCACAGGTATTAGACCAGTCTAAGTAGACTCCCCAATTCATGCATGTGTTGAATTACCAATTAAATGTTTTGGGTTTTTTCCCCTTTTTCTAGCATGCCTTTATTGATAATATAGTATCAAAATACAACTTCATGTAATTTGTCAGCGTTAACTTTAATGGTGAGTCCTAGTGTTTCTTTTGCCAGGTCTGGTCTCATATTTGCCCGCCTAGAGTGTATCTTGAAGCTCTTTTAGCTAAAATTGAAGTTAATGCTCTGCCATAAACTGCCGAAAGCATCATTGCATCTCTGTCTAAGTTTAGGCCAGATGCTTGATATATCTTGTATACTTTTAAAAGACTATTCATGGAAAATGCATAGAAGCTAGGTCTTGAGAGGTGCTGAGAATCTCCACAGAATTAACAGATGCATATGGAAAGCTAAAAGGCCTGTGATCAATCTGCAGAATTATTATAAGGAAATTTTCTTCTCTCCAGTGTTCTTATTTTGCATCTGCCATTTGCAGATAAAGGAAAATACTCTATTTGTCTAAGGATAGGAATTATCCTGGATGAGTGTAAAACTTCCTAGGAGAATTATAAACTCTGCCAATGTGTATAAAGGCCAAGTTGAGGCGGGTCACACCTAATTTTCATCTCCTGTTTTGGAGTGCTTTCTTCTATAGTCTTAAAGTTCTCCCCGTCATTAAGATGACTGAACAAGTTATTTTGCAGTTCAGTGGTTAGTAATTTAATTACGTTAAAAATACAACCAATATAGCAATATGGCCAGTTGTTGAACTGGTAGCTGGGCTGATTTCTGGTCAAGGGCTTCCTGCTTCCCTCTGGTGCTGAGCAGTTATGTTATTTCGGATGGCACTGGAAGGAAAACTATTTGCATTTCAAAACAAATATTTGAGATTTTAAATTCAAAGCTTTGCTCACAGGTCAGCTTTCTTCAGAATAACTAAATGTTCTGAAAGCATACTTTCAGTTAAACTGATGATGTTTCTGTGAAAGGAAAACCTCAGGCTCGAGGCAATGCATAAGGACTCGATATGAAGCGGTATGTTAAAATAGTTTGATAAGTTTAAAAAAAAATCAGAGCTGTCTATTTTTTGGGGGAATGAGGAATTTCTTTTTAAATCTTGGAGTGGAAGTTATGCTTAAAACTCCAGCACATAGTTGCAGTACAGTTCAGTTCATTAGTATACATAGTGAAGTTAAAGCAATTAGTGCTGTTTATACAGGCTAGATATTAAAGGTTATGTAGACCAGAAGCTGGAAATTTTTTAACCAATTGCTTTATAAATTAAATTGTAATTTGTTACATCTAATGACGTGGTATCATTAACTAGCATAGTGCTTGGTTCTAAAATAATTTTCATCTGGAAGTAGTGGCTAATCCTTATATATGCTAATAGAAGAAAATGGTGGTATAAATATGCCTTTAAGAGTTGGAATATCTTCATTATTCCCTTGAAATAAAAGAAAATAAACTTATTTTCTTCACTTTTCTGTCAAATCACATTTTAGTTTCATTTATATAGTGATAAAATACTGGTGATGAATACAGATAACCCACTTCAAAGCATTCCTATTCACTTTTTGTTCTTCTGTGGACCCTCATTTTTGACCTTACCAGTGGAAGATGTTCATTGGAAACAGCTACTACTAGGACATTGAAGGGAAATGAATAGGAAGATTGAAAAACTGTTAATAAAAATCCATTTTCTCTTTTTAATAGGTTATAAAAGTTACTACTGGTAATTGAAAACCAGTAGTACAAGAATTGGTTTAAAGACTGGGGGGGTTTTCAGTTTGTTTTTTTTTCAGGGGAAGGAGAAGTAGTATTACAGCTCCTCCTTGCTTGCAACCAAAGGAATCTTCTGTTATTGTGACCGTAGTAATACACACTTTTCAGCCACAGATTATATTACTTTCTTCTTTAAGTTAAATGACAGACAATGAACTTCAGGTGGTGTACTTGTTTGTAAAAGTTAAAGTGAATACTCCTTAAAAAATTTGTTCTAGAGGAAATTTGATGGAAAGTCATAAGTACTTGTTCAGGAGCAAACCTTTTCAGAATACCCCTTCTTGCCTTTAACAGGGCAAAGTATCTGGAGGTGCTAGCTCAGTGTTTTGGTTTTTTCAATCTGTTTTTCTTTAATTTGCAAAACTCCTTTAAAAAACAAAAAGAAAGAAGAGGAGGAGCAGTTCCCTGTGTAAGGAATTTAACTGTACTGGCAGAAGGCATGCATTACCTAATTGTGCTTTGATGATACTTAAAAAGGAATCCATACATTCCCAGAGGTCCGTGGTTGCTAGCCTGAAAACCTGCATGTTAGGATAGCATTTAACATTATACAGACAAGCTGAAACGCATTATATATAATAGAGGAGAAAATTGTCGATAATACTATGAGCAATGATTTGAAACGGAAAATTCCCTTCAGCCGTTATTTAAGTAGAAAATCAATATTTAGGTAACCTGAAAGTTGCTGTGTGAATGCATGACAACCAGTATACTTTTAGTGCAAGTGGTTTGGATGGTGCTTCCTTCTACTGGCTTAGTCTGTTAGTTATCCTGTCATAATCATGGTAAATTACTTTCCATTTTGTCGTTTTCTGATGCTTCTATTACCCTTTTTCAAGCAAGTCTGTGTTTTTTTTCATAGTTTGAAGGCATCAATTTCTCTGCAACTATTCCTATCTATTTTAAAATATTTTTTCTCTTCCAACAGAATTATGATTTAAATGATGATACAGTGCTTAATGAGATAAAATTAGCAGATGCTGATCAGTACCAGGTACCTGATTTATGTGCAGAAGAGCTTGCTGTAATCCTTGGAATATGGTACGTTGGTTCATAGTTACTTAAAATACTGCATGAATCATTGTGATAATGAAGTGGTGGGTTGATGGGACTTTTTTTCCTTCCTTATCATGTTGTCTGGCTAAAATGCTGAAGGAGTCACATTATATGTGGATAGCATTTTCAGTTATCTCAGTGTGAACATTAGTGTCCAGTTCAGAATTTCAGTGTTTCATTAATTGCTATATTGTTCACTTATCCTGGAAAAGCTTCTTGTTCTTTGTGCCTCAGTTTAACTGCAGTTGGCATTAGCTACTGCATAGTGATAACACTTTGGTAAATTTTGAAAACACATTTCAGAGTCAGCAGTGATCAGCTTCCTATCAGGATCAGCCATGTCTTGCAAGCAAAATGCTGCCCTGCTCTTCAGTGCAATGGGAATACTTCATGAGAATACTATCAATTCGGAGCATCCATTGCTAGTTACAAGCTATACTATAAAGTCCCTGTGGTTTTGCACCTAAGTTTTTTCTTTTCCTGGCTTTCAGAAATTATATGCTATGTGGGTTTTGGAAATGGCACTGAAGAGTAAAAAGCAGCTTGAGATTTGAGGATAACAAGCTGGCTGCTAATGAATATCCTCATTTTCTAATTGAGAAGTGCTTTTTCTATAATGTAGCAGTCATTTAGCCAATGACAGTTATCATGTAATTTTGTGTGTGTGAATTGTTTCAGAAGTATTAGTGTGTTGAAGTAAAAATGGTGATTTTGATGCAGTATTCATCATTCAGACCTTTCAAAGAGCTTTTCTGATTTGTAAGTTGCAAAATGATGGAATCTGCAGTACTGCTGAAATAGCTTGCCCAAGCCAGAAGAAGATTGGGAGCCAAACAATGAGTGAATCCTAGTTCCCAAGTCTCAGACCAGTGTTGCCTCTGCGGAGGCACAAGGATGTTATAAGATCTACCTTTGTGATAGGGTTACAGCAGTAACAGGCCAATGAAATGCTGGCAAGACAATTCAGTGGCATAAGCTACCAACCCAGCATTTGGCAGTAGTTCCTTTGTGGTGTGGGGCTTTTTGCTTGTTTTCTAGCACACGTTACAATGTTTCTGTCCCCACTCACTGAAATTTTCAGTTATTTTTCCCCTTCTTGTGACATAAAGTGCAGTGGGGGTCGTTAGTGGAGAGAAGATTGTTTCCCTTCATATGCCCATTTCTCAGACTGCAGCTTTTTGAAGGGCCAGGTGCTTGCTTAGCTAGATCTTGAAGTCAAATGTGAATTTGCATGTCTGTGGTTTCAGCTATGCCCTTTAACCATTCAGCCCATCCACTGTAATCAGGAATTAATGAGTGGAATAGGTACTGTGGCTTTGTATTTTCTTTATTCCCAAAGTCTTAAACTTGTTTTCTTTTCAAGGCCACATCTAGATCCAGTTTGAGATCAAAGGAGCGGAGTGAACAGCGGGTTGACGTATATTCTTGACCCAGTCACTTTTAGGCTTTTACACTGACTCCAGGCAAAAGCCTTCCCTGTCCTCAGGAGTGTTTTCACACACACTTCATTTTTTAACATAGTATTGTCTTATATTCAGATTATGTCATCCATTCTGCCTCCACCCTTCTGAAGGAAATTTTAATTTGCCTATTGGTTTTTTCTTTTTTTCTCTTTTTTTCTTTTTTCTTTTTTCTTTTTTTTTTTTTTTCCAGTGAAAGGGTAGAATTTGAATTTTATGTTGGCTTGGCTGCACAGTAGGTTTTTTGACCACAGCATGTCACTTTGAAACCACCACTGTCATCCTCCGAGTAGTGTCTAGAAACTATCTTGACTGCTATCTTTCTGTGTACATTATAATCCAAGTGGTATGTGAGTTTGGCAGGACTCAAAGCAAGAAGCTCTTTTAAAAAACTAAAAACAACCAACAACAAAAAAAAAATATTGAATGTCGCTTCCTCATAGGAATGGTAACTGCCATTCAGTGGGTGGGATAATGTTAAGCAACTGAAACTATTTCAATCATAGATGGAGACAAGATTTGATATCCAGCCATGTTGCAGAAATGTTAGTAGAATGCCAGCTTTGAGAACTATTCTTCTGAAGGCATTTAGGATACAACCCTTGTGACTGAGTGGAGTTTAGGCTTGGATTGTTGGCTGTACCCTTGATGTCTAAAGCAGCTATTGGCATCTCAGTTTGCAAGGAAGCATATATATGTTAAAGCATTTAGTGTTGGCTTTTAAGCAAAACATACTTCTTGAATCTTAGGTATAGGAAATTCCTTTCTTTTCTTTCAAGCTTGAGGATTTCAGTCCTGTACTGTAAATACCTAATTTCGTAATTAGTAAGTTAGCTTTTGAATGCCTTTAAGTTTCCAAAGCATTTCTAAATAGACTTTGGTTTAGGTCTAGCACTACCTTAATGGTATCTGTCGTTGACTGCCATTGTCAACAGTGGGTGTTTTTTCTAATGCAGATAAATGTTTAGACACTGATCTGGTTTGTTGAAGAAAGACAGCCTGCAGGTAAAGCAAAAGAGTAAATGTGAACAATTTTTTTCCTATACATTTCACTGTGCTTGCTGGTATTTGTTTTACAGCAAATGTCACAGAAATGCCCCTTAATTTAGCTGAGATTTTTGTAGCTAAATAATGTTAGCTCGAAATCAGCAGCATGCAGAAATAGTTGTGGATAGCAGAACAAACTGAAAATTGTTACAACTTTTGGAAAACACGTAATTACAGTTACAGGGTTCTATGGAATTGCCTGAATACACATAATTTTTCCTGCTGTAAAGTAAGTTTCATTTCAAGTAGGTTACAATGGTCAAATGGCTAAACAAAGTAATATTACAGTATCAGAGCAAATATTTCAATCTCTTCCTCCCCAGTAACGTTTTAAGAAGATATAAAATGTTTTTTGAAGTGTTGAAACATGCCATACCAGCTGTCTTTACAAAGATCCAAGCAACATCTCATGCAGTATGTTTAAGGCAGCATGTAAATAACTTGCATGAGCCTGAATCAATTAGATTTTTTAACTTCTCTGTTACACTGATGTAACAGAAGAACAACTAATTTGTCAGTAATCCATTTATATTAAAAAGTAGCAAAATAAACTGTAAACAGCCAGTCCTCTCAGGCATCTGTAATTTGAGACAGTTTCCTTTAAAGTGTTTGGCTATTCTATTTCTTTCCTGCAAATCAATTTTCTTCCAGATACTAAACGGTTTGCTGAACTAAATCTAAATGAAAACAATTGCCTCTTATGGTAATGAAACTGTAGCTAGAACAAAGTGTAGAGGAGGAGAAAAACCACCCCAGTCTACCTTGCTTGCACAAAGGTTTCCTATTCCGTTGTATCCAGATTTTGTAGTACCTATATAGGAAGAAAGTGTCTAGAGATGTTTTCAGGTCATCTCACTGCAGGAGTAATGCTATCTAAAGGAAATATTAAAAGAAACTCCTAGGTGTGCAGAAGCATCACTTGGCTAGGACTTTGTTGATATCTCATATGAAAATAACCAGTCATGATTGTCTAAAACTTGTTTTACAGTCAAGCCTTAAGCCTGTGGCCAAAACTTTTTAGAGCCTCAAACCAAACTTTCAGAGGCTGATGGGAAAAGATATTAAAGTTCCAATTTTAAAATAAAATATATATTAAAAAAAGAATGGGCCAATGTATGATTTAAAGAATGTGTTAAAATAGTATAGATGCCAAAATGCTGAGAAACTGAGGGGGGTATGTTTCCCTTGTCACTTACCAATAGCCCATGTTAGATCGCTTTTAGAATAGGCAACAGCAGCTGGCGTCAGCAGCTTGGAAAGAAAATCCCCTCTCATCACTTGATTCACCATTTTTTAACAGGGGAAAGATTTTTAGAAATTAGATACGGCTATAGAAAATAGCCATATAGAAAATTCTAAGAAAGCAAAGAGAAATGTCCAGTGGCTGGTTATTTCTTATCTTTTGCTGTGTCTCAAGTATTAAATCAGGTACCTCAGCTCAGTCAAAGACTATACACCGGTCTTCAGCTGGCAAGGAAAGCATCAGGAAGCCTAACTTTTATTATACAGTAATACATTGGATAATATATTATACAGTTTACACAGTGAGCTGTAGAAGCATACTTGAAACAGCTGCATAAGCACTAAATAGCATTAGGACTAAGGGATTTTTAACAGAATTAGCAAATATGAGCTTTGAATCAATTGAGTAATGAGAAACAAAATCCCAATATACATGTTGGCAATGGAAACATCATGGGAAACTTGGGTAGGTGAAACAGGAAAACATTTAGCTACTTGAAATTTGAGAATACTACTAGCAGGCTGGCTGTTCTTTAGGCAATGGAGAAATCAGCACCTGCAGAGCGTGATTCATTTCGCTTCAGGCACTTACTTTACAATGGTTTGAATCACTCCCTACATTTATCCGTATTTTTGTATGGACTCTGAAGGAAGCATAGACAGTTAGCTAGATTAAAGGCTGGCATTTTACATGGTTAAAGTAAGGTGAGATGGATCATATGCTTATTAAGACTATATATAGATACATGATTGCAGTCGTCTTTGTGCTTTATAGCAAGGTCATGCTATATAGCTTGTGTCAGAAGGACAAGGCAATGACAGGTAAACAACTGTTTTCATCTGTTTTCGTAAGAGACAGCATTCTCTCTTCCAAGACATTGGGATAGAAAAGGTTATGTTAAACTGACTGTGGAAGGCCAAAGCTTACACATGTTGACCTGTGAAAGTAAAAGCTACGAAATAAAATCTTGGACAGCATTAAAGGTGATGAAGATTTTTCTGTTCAATACTTTTTGGCACTCTGGCCCATCTTTACAAATGTATCATGTAATTGTAATTTTTTTAATTTTTTATTTTTTTTAACAAACCAATCACAGGTGCTAGACAGTGTAGTGATCTCACCATGGCCAGTTTATGGCTGCTTAAAATCATTGCTACAAAATATATTGCTGTGCACCAGTACATACAGCTGTGTGAAGAGATTCCACGGGGGAAATGAATTTCCTGTCTTGCTATTCAGAATGCTCACATAAAAAACATTAGTCACTTGAAATACCTTTGTGAAATTTTGAATACGCTTGTAAAGTGATCAGTTTGTTGGGTTTGGCTCTTTCTCATTCACAAAATTAACACAGCTGGTAAAACTACGTAGAAATACAGCAAATACTCATAAAAATGCATATGTGGAAAGTCTGGCCTATCTGTTCTTTGTCATCTATCTCATGCTAGTTAACTGTAAGTTAACTTTAAGTAGTTACTAGAGGAACTTGAATTTGCACTGTCTGCACTTGGAGAGGGTAAGGTGCCAGGAAACATAAACAAAAACTCAGTAGTTGCCTTCATCCATCTAACTTTATACTCTGTCTTCAAGAGTGGCTGTGAGAAGATACCTAAGGGTGAATAATATCGGGGCAAGCCAGTGTTGCTCCCTTCTCCCTAACACTTTCCCAGCCTCTAAATGGTCATTTCGTGAGCCTAATCCGGCTTGTTTGAGTGGTAGCCCTCAGTGGATCGCTCAAGTATTTGTTGTCTTCCATTGAGCCCATGTTAATTTCTTGTATCAGTAGCATCCTTTGGCAAAGGTGTCTGTCTACATATTTTGTGTCTGCTGCTATTTAATCCCAAAACTCACTTTAAATTTTTTTTTTCTGAATACTGTTTGGTCTCGTTAACTTCTTAGCATCCAACCTCTTAGCGTATAATCTCTTTTGCAGCTTTTTAATTTCAGAAAGATTCTTCTGTCCTGTAATTCTCTGTATTGGAAGAAGGATTTAGCACTGATTTTGACTCTTTTGGTTTGTTGCTCCTTAAACACTTTTCAGACTCCTTAATTATATTTTTAGGGATATTTCATTATTATTATTTAATATTCTAGAATTTTTCATCCTTTCTGTATTCTGCATTTTAATACAAATTCAGCTATTTGAGGAACACTTTTATTTTTAATACCTTTTAACAATGTTCTTTACCATTTGTCAACTTTCTTAATCAGTTCTCAAACTAGAAATATTTAGTCTTAGTCCAAAAAGGGGTACTGTGGCATTATTGCTATAAATTCGACTGTCACAGAGATTATAGTTAATTAAGTTTCAAAGTATATAAATAGATACCTTATCCATTAGGCTGCTGATGTAGCTCTGATTAATCAGATTAAAGAACTGGTTGTAAGTTGTAAGCTATTGGCAATTAGCTTTTGCTGATTTACTAGAAAATACCCCTGTAGTCATATTCCTTGAGAGACTAGAAAGAGCGTGTTTGTTTGAGATTATCCTTCAGCACTTTTTAAGTGTTACTGGCTTCTTCCTTTGCAGAATCTGTGTTTAATTAGTCATAGAATTTTAAATAAAAACAGACCTCTGTAAAAACAGAGAATGGATTTAAAACTGTTTAGGATTTGTAAAATTGTTATTCCTGTAAGCTTAAACTGAGTAAGACATTTCAATTTAGAATGGTCTTGGAAAAGCAGTAGTAAAATATCTGGGACCCCTAAATGGTTCTTTTTTTCTGTTACTTCTAGGTCTAGGCCGCCTTCTGCACATACCATACTCCCATTTGTCGTTGTAACAGTTTTCCAGAATGTCCTTCAGATTTCTGCAAGTTTGAAAAATGTGTTCTGCATAGTGGTATTCTAAAGATTAAATCAGCATTGTTGTTTGTTGTTTTGTTTTTTTTCTTTATAGTATAGACTTCCAAAAGAACAATCCAATACACAAATTAACTGAAGAGGAACTTCTGGCTTTTACTTCAGTAAGTAACTTATCTGCACTTCTTAGTAAATATTTTCACTTAATATTTAAGTTAAGTACCAAGCAGTAACCTGTCAATCACATTAAACATGAAACTGTTTGTAAGCCAAATACATTTTGAGCCATTATCATGCAGGATAAGCTTGACATCTAAGAATTTAATTTCACCTGAAAATACACAGAAAACATTCTTTTACGTGTTTGTTTTAGTTTGTATTAACTATATGAATTATAATGTACTGCTAAACCAAGCATTTTACAGCAAACTCTTCCTGTGGCACTAGTGTTGAAAGTGCTTTTCTTTGAACAGTTTTTAAGTGGAGTTCGAAAGGAATTTCAGCTTTATTCTGTCAGATTTATTCTGTCTATGTATCGGATGTTCTATTTAGGCATCTTTCTTCCCAGGTCACTGGCTGATTTGCTGCAGAACAATTCTGTAACTCATTATTTTTTGAATGTAATTTTTTTTTTTTACTCAAGACAAAACATGGTTTGCTTCCTTCCTCGATCTTTTCTGGTTTTGTGTGGTTTTCAACAATAGATGGGGGGATTGGGGGAGGGTAGAGGAGGAAAGGCCAGTGACTATGTTGCCATTGTTGCTTACTTTCCACAATGTTAGAGTTCAGCTTTGGTGCAATAAAGAGGGCTTGCTCTCCTACCCAAGCCTTGTAGTCTGAGACCTTTGGCTATAGTAGTGATATCTAAAAAAGTAAATTCTTGTTAAGGGTTTGCAGGTAGGATCTCAGCAAAAATCCCTTTGATTTCAATTGAGGTAGAATTTTATCACTGATACTTGCAGTTATGTGAAAGGATTATGGACAGTAATCTAAGGTTAACTATGGTAATGTTTTTGTGGTTTTTTGTTGGTTTTTTTTTTTTTGTGGTGGTAAAAGGAAGTTCAATCTGTAAGAGAGAAAATCCTAATGTTATTAGATAGATAAATGTAAAATAGGTTGGTTTTAAAGTAATGTTTGTTTAGGTCCCTATGCTAGCACAGCGCATGTAAGATCTGCTGAGTGAATCACTGTAAAACAGTTTGGTTTATGTAGGTTTTCTGTTTGTTGCTACAATAGTGCAACAAAATCATAGTGCTTTTTCATGATATACTTTCTGAAGCATTTTGTTTTTAACCATGGTTTTGTTTTGGTTTTTTAAAAGATGGGAAAAAATTTAAATGTAGAAAAAAGTGACTGTCCACTCTCGCTTCATATTGTAGTAATTGAAATACCCAATAAGGGTATTAAAGAATGACCATTGAAGGAGAGGAAAAAACTTACAAAAATAATTAATATGTACAAAGTAAGGAGATGCATACATAGAAAAGGCCTTAGGAATGAAAAAACTGCTGCATATAGTCTATCCTTTTAATATTAAATGGAGTGACATTGTGATAACAGAACACCTTTAACAAGATTGGCCCTACTCCTGTAATGGTGTACTTTCCAGAATAATGAAACCAGTTCAGTTGTTTTAACACTTGAGTTTTCAAACATTTGAACACTCTTCAGGTTCTACAGCAGAGGAGAAAAAGTCGAGGTAGCACATATACTAGGCAAGAAAGATAATCAGCTTTACTGTCATCTTTTAGCTGACATTGCTTGACAGATCATATTACCTATTATCTGAGATATGAGAGATCTGTTTGAGTTTTTCATAATGATAAGAAAACTAAACTGCATTTTTTCTGCCATCTAGCGGCTGATTCCTCAAAAATCACAGGAGAGCTGATGAACTTGCTCCTTAAATATTTATTGCAGTGACTGTGGGGAGCTTAAGTTTTCATTCATTTATTTATTTATCTTTTTATAGACCTTCTAAGTCAGCTTGCTTCACCCTTGATCAGCAGCCACTATCAGGATAAATCTCCAGAGAAACACAGCTGAAAGATATGTGTAGGCTTCCCTATCACTTTGTGCTCTGAGTAGCAAAAAAAGAAGGGTCTATAGTGGTAAACAAACAGGAATGTAGATCTCGCTAGTAGTGCAGAATTCAGTGGACAGCAGTGACTTAAGTAGCTGGTAGCCTAAAAATTAGAGGAAATAATAGATTTCAGTGTCAGAATAGTATTCTAAACTTTTGCTCAGTGTTTCCAAGTTAACTGGACATAAGGACACAATTCAATCTTACCATTATTTTCTCTTTCGATCTTGATCTATGCTCCCACAACACAAACAGGAACAAGTATGATATGTAACATTACCATCCCAAATCCTTCCTGGAAACTGAAAACAGGAATCAGATACTAGCTTATGTAAGATATTTTCAATAAAGGCGTCTTTTGTGGAGTTTGCATCTGAGCCTCATATTGCAGATAGTCACTGCAGAGTTTCATGATAAAATTGCTGAGCTCTTCTGCATCTTAGGTATGAGTCACTGAAGCAAGCAAATCCATCGCTGTGCTTCCTGGTAGTAGGGGTGTTCTGTGTGAATGTTAATACAACCTTGATTCTTGGGGTGTCTGCTAGCTGAGTAAGTAAGTAGCACCGCAAATGTTATCATTTATATTTAAGGTATTTACCAAGCTTTGGTACTAGCTAGTGAAACAGGCAAATGAGCACTATATCAATGCTGCTCTAGTAATTTCTTTAGCATCATTTAAACTGCTGTGTGTGTGTGTGTGTGTGAGCAGGCATCTTCTCAGCCTACATGTGGATTCCTAAATCTGCAGGCTGGTTAGATGGTTGTCATGCATTCATCTGATATCTGCTGAAATTTATGTTTCCTGAAGAAAGGAGGGCATTTCAAGATGTCTTAGGAAACTTGAGAAATTGTAGGGTGTTTTCAATAAATCAGTGGATCGCCAAGAGATCCTCTTCCTTTGGACATTGCAAAATAAATGTATGTGACCTTCAGTTTCTCTCAAGCAGAGAGAATTAGGGTCCAGGTAGTATGAGAGGGAAAGGATGGTCAAAGTAAACTCAAGTAGATGGTGTGGTCCTGCCTCATACTAGGTGTAGTTTGGCAAACAGGAATTCTTAACTCCCTTTTATATCTGTAGAAGTTGAAAATTACTAGATCTGTAAAATATATATATATATTTTTTTTATATTTTTTTTTTAATAACATAGCTTATGGACCTAAAAATAACACTATTAAGTCACTATTAGTCACTGCTTGGTGACTGCAGTCAAATATAAAAGGATTGTTGCTTTTCATTTACTGAAGTTGCTTGGGAATAGTTGCCATTGTCCTACAAGTACTAATTTTTGTAACTAAGAATTACTTACAGTATTTCTAATTTTTGAAGCAAGGTGTGGGCGCGTATACTGTGTACTTGTGTCTGTAGTCTCATTGGCTGGGATAGCTCCTCTTGCTACAGTAACTTGCACTTTGATGCTTGAGGTGTTCAGTCAAATTTGTTCACCTGTCATCAACATATTATTTCAACTTTTAAGCTGTTAATCTATAGCTGAAATTAGATACGTTTGATTTCTTTTTCCCCACTTATAGTTAAATTGTTGATGTGGTATCTTTACATGAGAAGTAATGTAGCTCACATGCACTTAAGGATAAACACAAAATGAAACATTTGATTTTTAAGGGGAATTAAATATTCTTTTTCTCATACATAATGGTTTAGGAAAACGGTTGTGTTTTTAATTAATTCTATTATGGAGCACTTGGGCTCCTAAGAAAGTTAAGGTCTTATTTAGAAATCAAATATCACTCGAGCTGCTTCAGAGACACAGTTATGCACGATACTTGGCAAACTTTCTGATTTGCTTAACTGAATATTGCATTTAAAAGCCATTTAAGAGAGGAAAAGAGGGGCAGTAAACCAGTAGTAAAACCCAGTGCTTCTCTGTTAGAATTACTGTTTTATTCCTTATAATAAACGTTTTTCCCCAGAGTTTTCTGTATAGGAAGTAGGAAGTACATGATGCAAGAAACTGAAGAACTAACTCAGTACCGCTTTCTCATTGAGGTTTTGTAGCTTAGTTTACTCACAGCTCCCCAAGTCAGTTTTAAAATGCCTAAATATGCTTCCTTATCCCATCTTTATTTTCAATGGATTGGTTTTAGTGTAAAACTACAAATGTGAAGTCTGCTGGGTTTTATTGTGGGCAGCAGTTTTTCACTAGAAGTTCACAAGTACATCACTGATCTCCATATGTCAGTGGCGCAAATAATTTTTTACAAAAAAAAATCATTTTCATAAGTGAGCAAAAGTGAGGTCTTAAAACCTTTTCTATTAAATATTTGCTGTTTGCATTATTTTGAAGAAGTAATGTAGTTAAGATAATATACCAAAAAGGAAATTAAATTAACAACATTGTTATATAAATGTACATGATATATCAGTATATTTTTAAAAGATTTTTTTTTAAATTACATTTAAAGCTTTATAAAAGTTGTCTGTCATGTGAACATAAACTTTAGAACAGGAAACTAAAAAGTATTTCTGAAATGTAAAAGAGTTCTGGGAACATATGAGAGCTCTGTGTAAGAACTGGTAAATCTTCCTTTGTGTTTTAGTTTTAAGATCATGCAGTTCTTGCAGGGAAATAAGGGAAGGATTAAATACTGGATGGTGCTGCATTTTTTTCTTACAAAAGAGAAAAAATGTTTTTTGGTTTGTTTGGTTTTTTTTAAAGAAAACCACTAATAAGATTAGACTCTGCAATACAAGTTCTTACAGCTTTTCTATAAAGCTTTTACTATAGCTTATAGTTTACATACTGGGGAGGCAATTCAGAGTTTCATAGTCTGATATGACACTCAATAGAATATCCAGGATTAAGGCACTGCAGCTGGTAGTTAGCATTACCCCTTCCTTCCATCTTAGCCCTCACTTTGTCTAGGAGAAATGGGCTTCATGGTAAATGTGATGAGCAGTTAGCCCAGTGTGGGAGGATATTACTTTTTTTTTCCCCTTATTAGTGTGTTATGATCAAGGGACTTTGAGTGGTAGCAACAGTATTAACCTGCAGAGGACTGAGGAGGAAAAGGAACCAGAAACTGTGGAAGAGAAGCCGCTTGCTTTGTGCTTCCCATATCTTA